TTTCTACTCCGGGGTTCTGCCGAGTTGCCATTAATTATCATGTGCAGCTAGATCCCAGCTACAAAGCAGGAGAGAACTATCTCTATGACCGGAAGATGCGCCAGGCCAGGGGGGAGTTCGGATTCTTGACTGACTGCACAAGAGGGGTGACATTGCTGAGAGGGGTGATCGGATTCTTGGATTCTCCAAGAGGTGGCTGTGCGTCTCTTGAAGCTGGCACCGTGCCATCGTTTCTACTGTTGTGTCCTTGGTTGTGCGAATGATCCTGCAGGAAACCGAATACCAGCATCTTGACGGCATTTGGGACCTTGCATAAAGAGGTAGGCGTGATCATCTGCCTTTTCCGGTCCTGGTCGTTGCAGCCTGCAGCCCTGGTGGTCACTGAGGATAATGGACTTTAGAATCAAGCAGGCAGAGCTTTGGCGAGAAGATGTCAGAGACATCATCGGCCTGACCTCGGCCCCTGGGCTGTCGATTCCACAGTGCCGAAGTCGGTATGGGGGGCCTCCTCTGCACATTCTGGGATTGGAGGGTATTAGAGTGTGTTTCACTGAGCGAAAAAGTACTCTTCCTCCTATAAAAACTCGAAGGTTCCGTGAGGTGGTTCACAGAGCCACCCAGAAGATCAAAAAGGAGACTTCAAGACTTAAGATGCTGCAAGCAGCGCCGAGGTGAAGATGGACACATACCTGATCGTGAATGCCGTGCAGTTAGGCTCAGCCCAGAGACGCCAAAGAACCAATGCGAATGTCGGATATCCCCAACCCCCAAGCCCCCTGCCCCGCGGAATGTGTGTGGATCCAGATCGCAGGCTTCACTGTCATGGCCTTCTGCGAAGGTCGCCTGGCCAGCGGATGCTTGGCAAGTTCAGGTGAAGATCCATTCTTGGCCCTTCTGAAGCTTCAATGGCGGTTTTGGGATTCTTCAACCCTTTCCTCTGGCTTGATGCCCAGGAACCCCAACCTGGCTGGTAGGCTGCCACACGCTGTCGCTGGCAGGCCGGGCCGTGTAGGGTCACAGCGCGGTCACAGTCAGTTCCAGGATGGGGGTTGGATTCATCACCGGGGCATCTCTTCTGCTTCTGCCAGGTGCATTTATGTACTTGCTGATGTCTGCTGCCAGACTGCATTTTGGCGGTTAGGAGGGCAAGCCGTGCACAAGAAACTCAAGCTGTGAGTCATCAGGCATCAGCGGCATCCGATTTTCATGCCGCAGGATGCTTCGCACACACTGCGAGGTCTGGTTCTCCATGCATGCCTCTGTCACGGCCAAGAGCTATGACACCTTGTTGCATCTCTGTATTTTCTGTGTCCCTTGCCTGGCCGCACAAGAGGCATGGCTCTCGCCGCAGGCGCCATCCCTTGGCTCTGTGAGTTTTCATTCGGTTTGGGGTCTCTGGTGGATAAAGGGCCCTCGGCGGTATCTGAGGAAACTCGCCTTCTTACCCAGCTCGTGCGATTGCCAGTGCCTTCCTGGGCACAACTCGAGCCCTGGCCCAAATAGGTGGCGATGTGGTTTTCTGAAGAGCCTCGCGGCTGGAATTCGGCTGTTGGGGTCGGGGAAACGGGCTTCTCCTGATCACGAGCTGCGAGAAGCACTAGCCAGTCATGAACGTTGGAGCCTCTTGCATGTGCTTTCATCTCGCCAGCCGCCATCCCCGATGGCGAGAGTCGATAGATTAATATAGAATTTCACAATATTTTGAGATCGAAATGTCGAAATGTCGGTTCCGAAGTCGCAATTGAGTCCTGAAAGTCACTCACACACACACAAGCACGCACTCCTGCACGCTACTCTCCTCCCAATCCCTGCAGACCGCACCCTAAAAGCAACACCCCCGATTTTCATCTAGCCGTTCTCCAAGCGAAGTAAAGTGTAGCATGTGAACAATCAGAAGAAGCAGACTCTAGTATGTTCAACGGCTTCCAAGTGAGCCCACTGTCCATGACCACGAGAAAACTATTCACAAATGCGATGGTTGGAGGCCGTGTGCACCCTCGCTGAACCTTTTTGTAGAGGTGTGACCTCGATCGATTTCGCAGGAGGGGGGAGTGGGCCGGAGTGGGGGAGAACGACGTTGTCAGCGGGATAGCCTTAGGTCCCAAACATTCCCACACTTAAGGAAGCGGCGCGAACGTACGGCTCCACCTTCGAGAAGACGAAAACAACTCAGATGCTTGGCGGGTTCTCCATTGCTGATTTGCTGGTCCATCGGTTGATGTGCAAGGTGTCCGAAGTTAAAGCTTGAATATCCACACTCGTATGCCCAGGATGTTTCGAGTGCCCTTTGCCGCTCGGTGACAATGGCATGCACTGGTCTCCTGCTTCCCTTGCTCTCAGATCGATGATGTTGTCACACGTTGTGTGTCAGGCCATGGGCACGCAGCAGGGGGCATCTCGATTGCAGCTATGTATGTAATGACATGTATTGTCAGTACAAAGCTGATAATAGTGAGGACTTTTGGCCTCGCGAGTCAACCATGAAGAGCACAAATGCTTTTGTAGTGGCTTTGTACTTTTTTCATTGCTTGCCACGTCCACTGGCCAGCCTCGGCCAAGTATGGGAAGGAGGACCTGCATTCTCTTGCTCCCAGTCATGTGCTGGCCTTCTATGTGCCTCCCAGGTCCTTGGTGAGCCCTCTTCGAGCTCTGCAGCCCCAGCCCTCACGGACCAGCCGGGAGCAGCTGGAGGCAGCCGAAAAACTTCGAAACCACTTTTGGGAGTGAAAGGTCAGATCTTGTAACGTCTTGTGGCGAACGATGGCAATGTCTAGCTCAGTCCATGGTCTTAATGCACGCTGGGTGTCCCTGTTCAGGATCTGCAGTGCTTCTGCGCAGAGTGTGCATGCTGCATCAGGCTTAAGCGCAGCCCCTCTCACATGACATGCCTTGCACTTACCCCATTGATTACAAGAGTCCTTGGTGACTTGGTCAGTTGGGGGGCATTCGACGCTTGTTTTATTCATCTTCTAGTTGGCCGTGGATACAATGGGCTGCGCCACCTCAGTCTCGACGGGACATGTATCGACTCCCAGGACCGAGGCTCCTTCGGTCACCAGATTCCCTTAAAGGTAGAGCAGCTACGAAGTCTGCGAAAATAGCAGCCCCCAGCTCAAGGACTGAAGCGACGGGCCATCCACGGAGTCCAGGGCGGCTGCCGCCAAAGTACTACGGAAGTGGCAGGAGCTTTGCTTCAAGTGTAGATGTGCTGGAGAAGATGCAGTCACCAAGCAGAGCAGCAGATGGAACTGCCCTCACGAGTCTCTGGACATGCGAGGACTTTGACATCTCATGTCCCTGACGAGCTCCTGGCTTCGATCTTCTGGCTGGATCGGGCAACCGCAGTAAGACGAGTGTAGATAAGTGGCTTTGGATCTGCTTGTGCCATTGATCAGTTTTTGCACCAGGACGACGACGACTCTGACGACGAAATCCGTAGCGTTTGCTCCTACTCCTGGGAGACGGCGCAAATCTCCAGGGAACTCCCGAAAGGCCAGGAGTGCATAATGATGCTTGCAGTTGCTGGATTCTGTCTGTACCAAGTGGTTGAGATACATGCAGGGCATGAATCTCTGAATCCGTGTAGTTTTAGGGTTTCAGGTTGCATGTTTTCCGAGAGGCATCCCCTGTGCGCCTGGCCGAAAATTGCACGAGAGCCTGGGCCGAGTCCGGGAGTTTCGGGTTTGCCTACGACTTGCCAGCAGCTGGGAACTTCACCGTCGGGGGTGTGTTAAATGTTAACCGGCTGTTGCAGTCTCAACTCGGTGGTGGCTCAGGAGTCATGTGTGGAAGCTGAACGACTTTCTCGACGACGTAGAGCTCGACCCCACCATATTCAAGCACCTCGTTTCGACAAAGCGGAGTCGGTTTGAGTCTGACACTCTGGAGACCTGAAGGCTGACTAGACGTGGGCGATGGGTTCCCATAGTTCATCATAGTTCCAAGCGCGGTGAGCGGCTTACGCTCGTCCCAGTCAACATTGTTTCGCTGCTCAGTGCAGAATGCATGCCGGACTTGTCCGTCGTGATTAAGCAGGGCTCTGCCGAGCCTCCGGAGTTCGAAGAATGCTCTCGGCAGTTCATTTGTCGTATCTGCTGAATGAAGTTTATACGAAGGCTTGGCAGGCCATGATATCCAATGCCATGCGTCCAGCAGAGGCTTGCGACCCTGCTGTGTCTAGTGTATAGAAGCGATGCACCTCACTTTCACTTGGCAGAATCTGGCACTTTTCCCCGTGGGTGCTCGATCCGAGTCCGCGGTGTGTCTAGATCCTTCACCTTGTGGCCTTGTGGCAACGATGAAGATCGCTTGTTCTGAAGAGCACTGTTCCACGACTTTTCTGGGTGTGCATGTGAGGGCGTGCGCTCCATCTCATCAGAGATCCACTGATCCATTGAGCTCATGTGGACGCGAATTGTTGCCCCACGAGCAAGGATTTAAAAGAACTGCGCCATCCGACATCTTCAAGTGCGTGTGTGCTCACTGAGAGCCTTGAACCACGAGATTAAGAAGGAAGGCTCGAGCCCCGCTCAGCAACGCAAAGCACCAAGTCTCCTCATCCTCAACCCCCAGCTACTGCGACCTTAAATTCCTGTAAGCCCTGAACCGTCAGCAACAGGGATTGATCTTCTACTCGAAGGGCTTGAGCGAACAGAGAGTTTGCAGGCAGTGCTGCGGCAGCTTCCGCAGACCTTTGGGGCCTCGAGGGCAGCGGCGTGCCTTGGCTCATTGTTCTTTGCAAAAAACAATGAACAGTGAGTGTTGTTTGTGAGATTTGCATGGTTTCTGGGCTTCGTCAGGAGGACATCTACGAGTTGGATGGCAAGCTCCGCCGCTTGTATGAGATATTCAGTGAGTGGCATCCACATGGACCTCAGCATGTCCACAAATCTCCTCGAATCCCTTTCAGAGTCACAACCCAGGCCCCAGGACCCTCTTGGACCTTGTTTTCAGGTACCGACCCGGCGTCCCAGCGCCACCTGCAGCTGATCAAGCAAGTGATGCACTATTGGCAGATCCTTGGCTTATGTCATTCAGAGATTGGGTTCGGGCAGTGGCATCTGAGCTTGTGTGCTTTTGTCGTTTGCCGCTTCAGAGGTCCTACGATGGCTTCGCGCGCGTAGCGATGAGCATGGGCACGAATCAGTTGATCCTGGGTTTGTCCTACTACGCACCTTGGCAGCCGTGCCATGTCATCTGCTGAAGGCGACCAAACGTGTTCTTCCTTGGCATCAGCTTTGACTTGCGCGGGTCCCGTGCTCTGGCATATGGGTCCTGACCTGCATCCTGAGGTGATTGGCTACGTGTTGATCTCCAACAAGGCAGATGCCCATTCTCCTAAGCAGAGGTGGAAGTACCTCCTGTGTTGGCTTCGGGCTTGGCGGTGGTTTTCCCCGAGGGCAATCACATTTCGAGTCTGGAACATCGATGTTCATTAAGGACTGCCATCTGTCCGAGTCTGAGAAGGAGTGTTGCTAAGTCAGTTGTTTTTTTGCTTCTTGGCCTCTTGGCTTCAGGGGTTTTTGCCTTCTTGGCTTTTCAGCTTCTTGTCTTCTTGGTTGCCTGTTCCTTTTGTTTGTTTTTTGATATCTTGGCCTGAATTTAATGCACGAATTTTGGGCTACGTCCAATATGGACTTGGATCGCCAGACGAAGACAAAGATCTTGGCCTTGCTGGCTCTGGCTTCCTTGTCTTCTTGCCAGAAGGCTGAGTAGCAGAGATCCTTTTGCGCCATGCTTGTCTTTGTGTCTTTGCTCCTCTTGGTTTTGGGCCTGTTTGTCTGTCGGCGGAGAGAGGAGTGCAGGTTTACTACTTCAAAGAGCATCATGCAAAGGCATCTGCTTGAGTGTACTCAGTTGCACGAAGTATAACCAGTAAATTCCAACGAGCTAAGCGTTTTCATCAGCTAAGACCACATTCATAAAGACTTTTTCTCTGGCCTTCCAGCATTCTATGTCCAGCTTTTCAAAAGACTAAAGTTTTCCAGCCCCCAGGGTGTTCAAAACACCGCTGTTTGGCAGCACTCAGGGTTTTCAAAAAAGCTTCAGTTTTCCAGCCTCGAGGGGAACCAAGAACCTTCCGTTTGCCAGCTTGTAGGATTTACAAAGAACCTTCCGTTCTACCTCAGGGTTGATAAGCAACCTTTCGCATTCCAGCCCCACAGGGTACCAAAACCTGTCTGTTTGCCATGAGTGTCCCAGTGGCTGGCAACTTATGCTGAGAAGGAGCTCGATGGCCAACGATGTTTGCAGTTTGTGTTTGTTGAAATAATATACGCTGTGTACGCAACTCTGTCTTCCACATTTTTGAAATTCCCTTCTGTCTTTTTGGACATAATTTACGCTGCGTATGCAGCTTTGTCTGGTTTCCACGTCCGGCTGTTCACTTCGATGTCCTTTTTCGAGTCGAGAGTGATATGCAAACATGGGCATGTCCGGCGCATTATTCTTGCTTGGAAAAGTGGCTGCTTCGCAACCCTGAACCTAATCACGCCTAGTGCCCTGATCGAACAACGCAAACACTGAAACCGCCAAACATCTGTAATTTTCGAAAGGAGCGCGTCCAAGTAATGTCTTCCCATCCTGAGCAAAGCCGTCTAGGAGGCTTCAGAAAGAAATACGGCAGAAAAAATTGAAAATCACAAAAAAAGAGCGAACACAACAAAGAACATGACGAAGTAACCAAACAAGGAACATGACGAAGTAACCAAACTCGTTCTCATCTATGAGCGCGCTTACAATGACATACCGAAATAAACAAACATTCCCGGGGACCCATTCGCACTCGTTCTCATCGAAGTGCAAGGCCTGAAAAATATTAACACTGTTGCCGATTGGGGGGGGGAGGGGCTCGTTTGCACGTCCAAGCCAAAGCGAAGCTTTCTCTGCCTGGACTTTCATTGGTCGAGATTTTTGACAGAAGCATTCCAGGGGACAAAACGCCTTTGCCTCAACGTGCGATTCCCGGAAGAGAACACTCTTGAAATGGGGGTGGGAGTTGCAGCGCGAATCTAATGCTCATGGCTTTCAGAACTTGTATAACACCAGCATTCTCCGAAAGACCCGCAAAAACCTGAGACACATTTTGCTGCTATCAGGGCACTTGGAGCTAGACATGCTGTACCATACAGCCGTTGAAACTCTCGAACCCCAAATGTCGGTTTCCTCAGGATTAGCCAGCACCACAGCCCGAAACAAACAAGACATCCCAAGAAAAGATCTCAACTTCATTCCGGGCTCACTTCTAAACACCTGCAAGAAGCAGTATCCTGCATTGGATGCCTTGGAGCCGGAGGCATTGGCCTTTTGTTCTCGGCTGTGAAAACCATGTAGTGCAGGCCATCATCGCGTGCTGGCTCGTGGTGCTCCTTTTCATGGTTATTGCCACAGCGTCCCTGGGCCTGAGATCGAAGTATTCCATGAATTTCCGTTTTCGGTGATCCGCCGGATGCTGCAGGTTGATTCGTCTGGACATGTCCCTCACAGGCTTTGAGTTCCGGGCAGCCATGGCCTCTTGGCCTGCACGAGACCGCAAAGGATCCCCAAGGACTGCAAGATTCAGTTGACTCTCCTGGTGGCGGCTGCGCCAAAACATCTTTTCCTCTGAGCGCAGAATGCTGGGATTCCGTTGACACTAAATTTCACCAGCACGAGGCAGCAAACCGGTAGCAAGGTTTGTGTGGGATTGTGTGGGCTTATGTGGGGCATGACGCGAGCACAGCGATCTCAACGTGGCAGCAAGGGATCTTCATGACGATTGTTGAATGTATGTCCGAATGTAAATGTGCCGCATTAAATCAGATGCCAGCTGTGGGAGGGTGATTTGATTCAAGGTTCTGGTCTTTGCCGGCCCGACACTGACGGCTCTGGCAGCCCAGCAATGGCGACTCCACACAGTGCCTTGACGCGGAACGTTAGTTGTTCTTTATTGGCAGGGTGGAGTCGTGTGTTCCATACAGCCTCCCGAGACAGCGACTTGAGAGGTGAAGGGCTACGAGATGGTCCACCTCCTGGCGCCGCTGCCTTACGCCGCTGAGGCGGCCTGGCTCATGCTGCTGCTCTACATCAGCAAGGCAAGGGCAAGAAGCACGAAGGTCTTGGGGGTCTTGGCCGGCTTTGTTACGTTTTCTTGGGGGACGTGGACGATTTGCGTGCGATGGCTTTGGCTTGGTCCGTTCCTGCACAGACCTCCCGGACAGGTGCAGGAGCAGGAAGGCGGAGCCACGCTTCCCACCGGGTTTCGATCCGTAATGTGACCTTGCTGCTGGAGGTTGCGGTATGTCATTGGGGCTCTGGCTCCAGGGTTCGGTTCGTCAGTGTTGTGGAGAACCTACGGATGACGACCTTGTAGGACTGGTTCAAGTCAGGTACATCGATGTCTTCGGCTGGATCAAGCGAGCTCGGGCACAGAAGGAGGGCCAGGCCAGATCTAACTTAAAAGCCCCAGTCTGGGCGGTTTTTGCAAGCAGTGCTTGCAGAGGACTGCATGGTACTTGTATGGAATAGGCAAAAACAAGCCATAAACAAAAAGCAGGGATATGAGAAACTGATGAGAAGGGCAGAGACTTCCGCCAGGCCAGTCCGTGGGAGCCGCGGGTGTCCGAAGAGACACGACGTCTCCCGTCGCCTGCAGAGGCTGCGGTGCCCGGACAGCACTTCTGCTTTCCTTCGGAAGTCAGGAGCAAGAATTCAGGAACAAACCACGGCTAAAGGTTAGCCACACCGGGTCTCCTTCTACTAAACATGGTTTGGAAGATGCATTCGCTGTGATGCGACAGCTGAGGTGCCTCAGCCGGGCCGGGGCCCGGCACTGGAGGCGGTGCACTACGATGGCACATTCCTCAAAGGCCAGTAGCTTCGGTGGATTTTTGGTCCATCTGGTGAGGCGCTCATACGTGTCTATATATATGTATATATATATATCTAGATCTATCTATCTATATACATATATATATATATACAGGGGATGCTGTCGGAACCAGTGTGTTGAATGGCCTCGTGGCTGTTTCTTCTTCCCTTGTTCAGCCCGACAGCAAAGAAGATGGACTTGCTTGCGCAGGCCCTGCCCCCCGACGACCAGAGTTGTTGCCAGGCCAGGCCTTAGCTTTGGCACACAGGTGCTTAGGACAAGGATGGTCTTGCTTGATGCAATAATTAGATTTGCAGAACTTGTCGCGGCGTGTTGCTTGTCTTGCCTATCCGAGAGTAGGAGACTTTGAGTGAGGTGCTGCCAAGCCTCCCCCGGAGACGCTGGCCACAAAAGCGGCTAGGCTGATGTGGGGTGCGGGACTTTGGCGTCGGGTGGTGCTCTGAAGCCGGGTTCGCTGGGTTCTTGCTTCCTGGAACTTTAAATGTTGAAGGGCCGACGTCGGGTTGGCAGCGTGAACTGCAATCTACTGAAGTTCTCTTTGTCTTTTGTGGGGGCGTGGGTGCCAACCACATGCGCGGTACCCGAGGAGATGTTCGATCCGACTACCTTCGTGCCAAGGGAGAAGGACACGCCATGCTCTGACTTTGCACATCTTGCTTGGAACGCCACTACCGACGCACAGCTCCAACATGCTTTCGCAGGACGGACAGCAGGCGAATCACGCAGAGGACTGCAGAGACCGCGCGGTGTTTGGTTTGGAGCCAGCTTGCCCCCGGCAAGCTTACGTAGCCCATGCTGGTAGACAAGCACTTGTCTCTTTGTTCAGGACATCCATCCGTACCTGAAGCCTGGCGTTGTGCCTTGGCGCATCTTCTGCTCAGCGACCACGCTGCCACTTGGCTGTTGGACCTGAAACACGCACCGCTGCAACTAGAAGCGGGCATCTGCGCCTTTAGATGCGAATGTTGTGGTACTCAGGCTGCTGGTCCTGTGGTGGATTTCAGGAGTACTCATCCTCCTTCAGGCTGGCTGGGTAACATCTGCCAAGACGGGAGACGATCAAGGAGCAGCTGGGACCGTCCCTTCTGAGGTGTAGTTCCAGTCATCCTGAGCAAGGGCAACTGTCAAGTTAGAAGATGAGTCTGGAAAGCAATTTCTCATCAGCATGCAGATATACACCTTGCACTAGCCATCTAAGAGCCATGCGAGGCCATCAATGTCTTCGGTGCATATGTACGCTGATGATAGCACACCCATACTCAGCCCTGCGAGTCCTCCGGTTGGTCTGCTCTGCGTGTGTCGCCGCTTCTTCACGACACAGAGGCCGGGCGCGGTTTGAGGGGGGCTATGAGGGATCTGCAACACGTCCCAGAGATGAAGAGTTCGAAGACGTGTGTTGATGTGACAAACATGCACAATTCTGGCAGGAGGGGCCTGCGCCAATTGAGCAAACACAGACGGCAGCTTTCCTGCTACGTGGCAGCCAAGCCCAGAGTCTGCTGCTCCCCTTCGCCTCGAGCGTTTTCCAGGTCGGCATGTGGCCCTGTGGCACACAAGAAGCCGAGAGAGCTGGCGAACATGTGTGAACGTACGTGCGTGAACGTGCGTGAACGTGCGTGAACTGCTGACCCGAAGCCGTCCCAAGCCTTCTGCACTCTAAGGCTCGAGGAAGCCACAATCCAGCCGAATGCGCAGGCTGAGTCTTTGCATGGAGACGCCTGGCGAGATCATCGGGTTCGTCTCATCGCCTTCCCATTTGAGTCCATTGAGTCCCTGCCCTGTCTGAACTGAGGAGCACATCTCCACTTTCTGGCCCCCTGGAGCCTCTCCTCGGCCGCTCAGCTCGGGGGTGTGATTCTAGTGATGAGGGTGCCAATGCGAACTTTAATGGTCGGCAACGGGTGGTCGTCAAACTCCACAGCTGGCCTTCCCAAAAGGCACCTGTCGTGTGCATCGGCGGACGGCGCCGTGCGCTTTGCTGCCAGCAGCCGCTTTGGCCTATTCGAGGCCTCCCTTAGTCACTATGAGATACTTCGAGAGAGCACTTCGAGAGCTCGCGGCGCGCTCCGCTGTTGCAAGGCGACCTTGAACACGGGCCTGCATCTCGACAGCACTGAGACAGGTAGTTTGCATCTTCCATTTTGCTCTGCTTCAGTCGTGGAGGCGAGCCCGCCGGCCGCAGGTGTAGATGTCCGTAGCTGTTGTAGGCAAAGATGCGTTAAACTCGGCATTCGTGGCAATCGCGGAGCTCCGACTCCAGGAAGAGCAGTGCGGGCCGCCCCAGCAACTCCAGTGCCGAATTCCGCTTTGCCCCAGTCTGTGACGATTTGGAAGCCTGGGCGGCAGATGAAGGTTCAGGATGTGTATTGCACACGACGAGCTGGTGATGCACCTTTCTAACTGTGTAGCCTGCAGGTCGAGGGTTTAAGTGGCATGACGCCTGCTCGAAGGCTTGCGATGTCAGTAGGAGGATGTTGATGGCCTGCCTCCTCCTAAGGAAGGCGAAGCTTTGCAGGAGAGCTGGGAGTTTAGGGAGTTTACCCCTAGTAAGAGGCCCGAAAGCCCTCTGCTCCCGCAGTGGGAGGACCTCAGCGTGCTCTGCAGTGGCCACGACTGCCAGGCGCAGGCGCCGCTTGAAGCCCCGTCCCAATGTTGCCTGAGTCGGGATTACACGCGCACCAGCGCCGATTTCTGCTCTGCCATTTGCGCAAAGACTCTGTGACGCAGATTTAATCTGCTGTATTTGTTGCTCCTTGTTGTTGCTCCTTGTTGTTGCTCCTTGTTGTTGCTCCTTGTTGTTGCTCCTTGTTGTTGTTCCTTGTCGTTCTTCGAGTACTGCTCATACAGATGTTGCCTGCCACAGCCAAATGGGCGCAGCGTACGGGCAAAGGTGCTCCATCGCCAGGGCCAGCGCCTGGCCTCCTGCAGCTTGGGCACCGCGTCCCGCGCTTCGGAGGCCCTCCGTCAGAGTCGGAGGTGTTTGCCAGTGTTTGTTGTTGCTGATGACGCTTAGGCAGTGCGCAGACAGCACCATGGCACACTCTTTCTCTTTTCAGGCCGTGATGTCACTGGGTGACACCTGGCTCGGCCAAGGAGATGCAGCACGGGACGAGTCCCAGGAGGAGGCACCAAAACTGGGAGGCTTTTCTCCTTGTTTTCCTTCGTTTTCGAGGCTATGAGTTATCAGGGTGGCAGCGGCTCGTGACTCACGTCACCCACGCGTGTCCTGCAAACGGGGGTGATCCGTGACCTTAGACCGCTGTCGAAGGTTTCCTCCATGACAATGCTGGATCGCTGTGCTGGCAGCGCCTGAGCTGAACAAGGGGGTTGCGGTACCCAGGAGTGCACCTTATCCCGAGCAGCTGATCGAAGGTCCTGCGGTGGTTGCCCATGTCAGACTCCACAGATGTCCAGCACATGTCTTGCCAAGACTCCATTGGGCCTTGCTATTCAGTGGCTAAGCATTGCTAGGCAGGATGCTGGTGTGGGTTTGTAAATCGATGAGGAGCTCAGTTTTCATGTGACCCCAGTTCTGGTTCTGCTTGGAGCAGCTTGCCAAGCTTCAGACTGGAGAGTCTGATGCAGACATTTTAGCGCTGGACCCGACTCCAAATCCTGAGATCTAAGCAGGAAGTAGATGCGAAGCTCCCCCCAAGCACGAACTCCAACACTGATCGCGCCAAATGCCCAGGTGCCCAGCGCTGCGCCTACGCAGAGACGACAGGTGGACGCCTTGTGGAGCTGAAGTCGGGGCTGGTGCAAGGCAGGACAGTGAGATGAGGGTCTCATAAACTCTGGAGGCTTTTTTGAGCGGTCCGCGCTTTCACTGTGTTGCTCTCTCTCTCTCTCTCCCTCTCTCTCTCTCCCTCTTTCTCTGATACTGGCTGGTCCCTGTAGCATTCCTAGCATGCCGCCCTTCCAGCATGCCTCAGCACGCTTCAAGGGTGGCCCCAACTATCTGACCCTACAACGTGGGCCTTCAGCTACGGTACTTTTCATGGCACCTCAAAACTGTTCCGAAGCGAGGTTTCCCGAACACCCGCCCTTCGACTCCTTTCTTCTTTCGGGGGGCTGAAGGCTCGAGGGCCCTGTGTCAGTTGCGCACCCCAAAGTGCGGTTTTCAATGGCGCAATCCTGGCAATCTTGTGCTTGCGGTCATCGTTAGGATGGACCAAGACATAGAGTGACGTAACCCCAAATACCATCCCACCCCACCCTGTCTCTTTAAGCTGTCGTTCGAAGGGCACTCCTTTGGTCTTCTGGCCTGGCTGTGGCGGCCGGGTAAACAAAACTGCCCCAGGGCAAAAACACTCACAGCCTTCGGATGGTTCGTGTCCTGGAATCCCGCCTTTGAATCACCCATTATAACCCCCATCCGAACTGCTTTATGATTGGAAAATGTATGGTCAGCTATGCTCGCGATGCCCCCAGTTTGGGAATTGCACGCGCATGCTACAAGTGGGTGCTGCTCCACACACGTCTCCTTCACAGCTCATCTTCTCATATTACATATGAATTGAATTGCAAACTCTTGTGAAATAATGAGTTGTTCGAAGACAGCAATACCAATCAAGAAAGAAGAAATTGCTCACTGCCGCTAAATATGAATAGAATCTCCACTTCCCGCTTCTTCTGACGGGTAAACTGAGCATCCCTTGTCGGTAGGCTGTTCGTCAGGGCGGGAGGGCGGGGAATGGAGGAGGGAGCAGCGTAAGGGGGAGCATGGTTATGCCTGCCAGGTGTTGCCAGTCGGGGTTTCGCTATCAAGTTATGCACTCTGCTCTGAACCGCGCTGACACAAGAAGCAGCAGTACAAGAGGGGGTTTCCTTAGGCTGCATGGGACTAAGGGGCCTTGTCGTGCTTTTGAAGGGCTGTCATGTGGTCAGGTGCTGTGCTAAAACAAAAAAGGTGCTGTGCTTGATATGATGGGCCTTGAAGGAGGTAGGCACCTAAGCCATGGGCCGAGAAAACGAAAATTCGGGCGCTGGGAGAATCGCCATCGACAATGGGAAGCGAAGGGCAGCGCAGGGGAAATTGGCAGGGAAGAACTTGTAACTTGACGAACTTGACACCCTACCCTGAGAGGTTCTGCAGATTGGTTGCCAACCCGAGTGCTCCTGGCAGACGTTGGCCGCGCGGCCAAGCGGAAAGGAGCGATGTTTGTCTGTGATTGAAAGGTGCACGTGATAGTGTCTTGCAGCACATTCAGCTTCCGGTGCTCGAATCGTGCAGCCTTGTGTGCATCAGTCGGCGTGCTGTCATTTGCGCTCACGGGGAAGGCGCTGCTCTTCACACGCTGGGAGACCGCTACTTAGCGATGCAACTTGGCTAGAAATTCAGTCGCCTGCGCACCAAATCCCACTTCATTGCTCGACTCTCCACTTTTCCTGGCCAGCTCGACTTAAAATACTATTCAAGAGGCGATGCCGGAAAAAGTCTTGCCAGGCTGGTGACTGGAGGAGCGGAGCTGCGCATCTTCGACCTCCGCCAGTCAGGCTGGAGCAATGATACATCATGAACCATGGTCTGAAGGGTTCTTCATGTGCCTTCATGTGCCTTCGACCTTGAGGCAAGATGGTGCAGAGATATCCTCTGCCGGGGCAGAAGTTCTGGCGCTCCATGTGCAGTGCGGGCAGCAACCTTTTCCTCCTTTCCGAGGCCCAGTCGGAAGTTGATTCGAGTTTCTTCAGCCGTGTTAAAGGTAAGAGTCGGTAGCACTAACAGAGCCGTCGCTGGAGGATCCGGCAGCTGCCGCCCAGATCTTCCGCTTCCCACTCCCACAGTCGCTGCTGCCTTCTGCGCAATCGAAGCCGGCAGTACTGTCGGACAAGGCCGTCGGCAGCGCGTCAGGTTGCTCCCGGGGGTTCCGTCATGCTTTTGAAAGTCTTGAGTCTACACGCGTTACTATTATACTATTGTTACTGCTTGGCTGGAGCAATTGTTAGCCGCCCAAAGCATCCGGAACATTTGCCACGATTTGATTCGCGTGTTTCACAATTGTCGCTCCTGTCTGGATTTCAGAATCCTATTGCAGCAAGAGCTATACGCGCATCTTACGACAGCTTCAATTGTGAAAGCGTGTGCCTCGAGCCAGAGGTCCCAAGCTTGCGAGCTTGGCCTCCGGCCTTTTGAAGCGGTAACCCACTCGAGTTGACCGTGCCAGGTCGGAGCAGCCCCTGCGCAGCCACCAGCGACCTTAGCGTCCATGTACACGCAGTCCAAGGAGTCCGCCGGTACATTCTCTGACCTTTTTTTTCTCCATCATTTTGCTTGTCTCCTGTTGTCTCCGCCTTGTGCGACCGCACTCCCATCGAAGTGAGGAGCCCGGTGCAGAGGGGAACGCCGCAGCGAGCGATGCACCTAAGGCGGGCTCAGTGGACACCTCTTGCATCACGATGCGCCCCGTTACACCATAGCCGCATTGACTTAGGCTTGTGCCGTGTCTGTGGTGTGGCTGCCCAGGCGGTGCCGCTTTTCGCTGCTAGGCGAGTCTCCCTGGAGCGCCAGCAGGACGGGCTCTGGACAAGAAGACGCATGGGGCTGGGGCCAGGTCTTACAGGCTCAGTCCAGATCAAGTGCCTCCAACCAGGCCGAATCGAACATCTCCTTGATCTCCAAGGCAAATTCGAGCGTCAAGGCCGGGTTAACAGAAGAATCAGACTGCCTCAAAGATCTCAAAGCCATACGTCTGCCCGGCGCTCACATGGCGTTGTTGTGCGCGTTGCTTGCCAAGCCCTTCTCGACATGACACATGCACCTGCCTGAAGCAGTTAAACAGTTAACCTTAAGCGTAACCTTTGCAGAGCTTTCAATTGGGGTAGGATCGTGCGATACGAGCGACGTGTGTCAAGAAGCGCCAGGCAGCTCTGCAGGCAGATACAAAAGCGCCAGAGGCCCACCTAAGCTTGGGAACTGGGTCTTCAGGGAAGGGGAGCAAGTTGTTTTGCAAAGCTATGTCGTGTGCAGCTGCTGCATGACTTATGTGACTGCAATGACTCTGAGAGTGCTCAGCCAAGAGTGAAGTGGTCAACAAGACAGGTGCTGAGCTCCGAACATGCCGGGGCCCAAGTGCAACCAAGAACCATCCTTGCTGAGGGTCTCGGGATGTCTCGGGTCAGCATCTTGCTTCTCGGAAGTCACCAGTCCTCGCGGAGACTTGACAGAGTTAGCTCCAGCAAGTCTTTTGCGCAGGCCGTGCCAATCTCTGCTGCGAAGCGCGCATCTTTTGAAGCATCGGCGGCTCGGCCACAACCTGCCAGTGCCAACTTGCTGGGGTTCGCCGTCACTTGCGATTAGGCAGGGGTGGGTGCTCGGTTCGAGGACGCTTCGAGCTCCTCGAGCAGCAAGCCGTCCGCAGCTGCTGGGCCTTTGCATGAGCGCCGTGCTGCAGCTCGGACTGGAAAGTGCCAGGAGCATGTTCACTCGGCAACATCTGTGCTTGTTGGAGTCAGCCTTCTTCGAAAAGACGAACATGCAGGTAGAACTGGACAGCCCGAGGTTTCCAACGCTGACGATTGGTGCTGAACCCTCTCAGCTAGTACGGCAACTCTCAATGTACCCAAGGAAGAACAAAAGAGCCAGCCAAAACCATGCCCTCCCCGTGTTGCAAGTCCGACCGCAGAGGCTCGCAAGTCTGCATCGGCAGGCCAAGGTGTTCTGAGCGCGCACGGCTAGGTCCCGGTTAGGTTCCGGGCTAGGTCCCGGCTAGGTGCTGATGGTGGAAAGCTGGGAACCCTGGGCCAGTACCAGTGGACCCTCAGACCCTCAGACCAGAAGATTGAGCCGCCCTCCCAAGCCAGGTCCCGCTTTTGTGCAGCTATTGCCATGGCACTAGTTCAGACTATGTTCGCAATTTTCTTTCAATCTATCGCTCCGGCCCCGGTCTGCAGACAACAAAAGCAAAAGACATGATGCAAATGGCCAGACCGGGGATGCAGCGTGCGAAGCTCGACGGCTCAATAAGGAGAGGCAGCGCCCCGTGACATCCTGTGATTTCGAGGTCATTATCATGCAGATGGGCGGTGAGCCTATAGTTCATCGATGCTGATACGTTTTTGCATATGCTTGGAACGCAAAATGCGTGCAAGCGTGAGGATGGTTCACGAGGCATCCGCAGCGATAGCGGATGGCGTCCATGCTGCCCTTGAAAGATCCTCTGAGCCACTACTGAGAAGACCGGAGGTGCACGCTGAACGACAAAGCAGCCCTGCATTGCTGTCAGGGGCAAGTCTAGATGTTGCGTCTAGCCTCAGGCTTCAAAACGTAAGGATCAAAGAGCCGTAGTCGCTGCCAGTTCGAAAGATGTCCCCTTTCAGTTCAACTGCTCAGTCAGCTTTCTCAGGCGTGAGAAGCGCCGACGAAAGCAGCAGCAGCAAGTCGTGAACAAGAACAGAAAGGCACAAGGGTAGGTGGCAACAGCTGCGATCGGAATCGTTCAGGCTTCCTTTCCGTGCTTAGCCGCTGACTTCCATCAGCTGCCGAAGAGCAGACACTTGGACAGGCGGGTGAAGGTGGCGTGGGAGGACAGAGACACTTGGCAGGAAACCTTCAGGTTTACAAGCCATGTCGCGGTTGCATGGCGAAGGTGGCGAAGGTATCATTTCCAAAATGCAGATGAGCGCTCCATCAAATCGACTAGTCTTCTATCGCTATCTGTTTCACATTGGACATGCGGATGCAAGGCATGTCTCTCAATACCTGAGGTATGTTCTGGGATGGTTTCCAGTGGGTGCCACGAGCAGACACAGGCGGGGGGGTGGGCTTGAGCTCACCGACTGCAAGGACACAGCAAGTACAATAATCAGCTTCATGCATCCTGCGCTGCTACACGGGGATGGATGCTGTAGTCTGTTGCACTTGAACTAGGCCAACTGTCAATCCTTAGAGGCTGTTTGTTAGACGTGCACAACAACATCGTGCAAGCAAGAAGTGATAAATGTGGTGGCAAGTGCGCATCTAGAACACCTTTCCGCATGTTCCTGCACGTGTTCGGTGTTGTTTTGATTGGTCCCTGCTTTCTGTGTTCGACCGTGCACAGTGCGGTCCAGGCATTGCAAACGACGTCAATGCATCCCGCAAGAATCGTCGTCTTTACCTGGGTCCTGGCCTCAATGGACAACCGCGAGAAGCCAACAAGACAGCGCCCACACGAAGTCATCGGCCAAGACCACAGCAAAGTCGGAAAGCAAAGTCTCGCAAGCGCTGAGGCAATCTTCCCTATCACCTGGGTGTCACCGAGGCGCGGAGAGCCGAGAAGGGCACTCCCCAAGATGGGCAAGCTGTTCTAAGATCTTCTTTTCTGATTGTGTAATTCTCAAGAACCTCTTTGAAGCTATGGTCAACCTCGAAGCGCCCAGCCTTCACGTGCCATGATCCTCAGGACTCTTTCTCGAAGCAGCTGTACGAGACGATGCGCGATCGCGGCATGTGCAATGACCCGAATCAGAACCCCGCCTGTGGCTTATCTTGCCGCAAGGGTCAGCTTGCCATCTGTGCCAACACTGACTTTCTGACAAGGGCCGGGTGTTGAGGTGCTGCACGTCTGGTTCGCCCGTGACAAGGGTGCCAACTACGGCTTTTGCGAGGTTGCATCGCAAGAGGCAGGGCAAAAAAATATGAGTGAGACCAGGGCCTTCGCACGTACAGATTGGTTCTTAGTTTCTTTGAGCATATGCTTCGTGGTCAAGGAGACAGAGCGCGCCCTTCAGCTGGATGGCATGCTGGTCCTAGGCTGGGATGTTGTAAGCGGCAATGCGTACGATTACCAACCGGACATGATGAACATTGATGAACACATCTACGGGGCCGTCTGAGTGAGGACTTCGGGCTTGGACTCTTAGTCTTCGAGAGTCTTTGGCAGGAGTGCCCGTTTCCATCAAGCGGCCCAACGATGCTGCATGGCGCCGAGTGTGCAGAGTGGCTGCTTGCGAGCCGCTCTGCATGCTCTGCAAACTGCAACCTGACGTGAGACCGTCTGACCCTAGTGCGACTCCCAGGTCAGTCCGCTGGGCATGATCGGTGGTGTGCCCGTGGGCATGCAGGTTCCAGGCCGTGTAACTGCATAGCGATACTTTGCCGCCTTTGCTCTGAGTGCAGCTGACATTTTAAAGGTACGTATCAAATGCTGGAAGCATTGAGGGAGAGGCTTCATCTCAGATTCTACGTAAGCTGATCTGTAAGGGTTTTAAGGATGGGGAACCCAATTGTTGGGGCCGGAATCACACCCTTTTTCCTCCCCCCACCGGGGCGCCAGTCCGGGCCTCAGGCCCTAACGCCGGGTAGCTACCACTTCTTCTATGTATCAACGAGCCTCGTATTCCGACCTTGATCCGACCTTGAACGGCCCGGATGCTGAAGCGCAAGCTTGGCCATCAACCACCTTGCAGGGCAGCAGGCCAGCATGCTGGCGCTGCCCAGCGCGCAGGCCTTGAACCTTGCAATGCCTGGCAGCTGAGCACCCGCATCCGAAGCAGTTCTGCACTGCGTCAGCTGTGCGGAGCTTCTCATCATAACTCTAACAAATTGTCTGGCCGAACTGCTTTATTTATGCATTTCGGCAGGTGAGCGCCACCAGCCCCATTATCCGGATCGACGAGATCCTGAAGGTGGATGAGAAGACGACAGAGGCTCTTGCTTTAGTTGGTTTCTCTCGGAAATCCAGAAGAGCACCCAGAGCCAGAGCCTGGCGCACGAGGATGACTACAACGATGTCAAGGAGGACATGTCGGAGGGCTGCGGGGCCCATGGCAAGCTCGTCATGGCTCCCCAGCTGCATTTAGGATTCAGACTCAACAGACTCCAGGGGGGCGCTCGCCAATCTTTTGCCAGGGCCTGTTGGCTTTGCCTTTTGCCGCTTAGGTGGCCATCGTGAAGCCTGCACATGCCAGTGGCAACGCCACGCTGAAGCCAGGCCGGGGAACTGAGGAGTTTGGGTGTTCCGATGGTC